GAACATTTGTTACATTTTTTTTATTGTGTCTGATGGGAGCTGAGACATAGGCTGGGCTTTCCCTGTGCCCATTGGAGGTAGGGCTCACCTGCCTGCCTCAGCCATCTAGTGGCCATGGCAGATTGCCCAGGATCTTTTCTCTCTGCCATCTGCAGCCTCCATGATGCCAGAGCCAAGTCCGCCTGGTGCGTCACCGTGTCACCACTGACACCACTGTTGGGCCAGACAGACGCGCATGAGCTGCTGGGACTAGTTGCAGCTGGGAGTTGTAAACCTTGTTTTCACCCCTAATTGTTGACTAAGAACTTAGCTCCAGTTAGACTACAGACTACATGATTCCTACTATTTCCTGTGGGTTCTGAGGGTAGGTGATCCTTTTCCAGTATCTGTCCACAGGGCAGCAGGCCTGACTTACAACAACTCAAAAGGAATGCTTGCGCCTATGCTGGAGGGTGGTGGGAGGAGTGCCAGCAAGGGAGGTCCTGATGAAAGAGAAGGGGAAATGGGTGGAAAAACATTCTAGAACTTGCTGCTGAGTCTTGGGGCCATCCAGGGTGCTTCCAATTGACAAGAACTTTGTGAGTCAGTGCTGGCCTCAGGACTCTGTGGGCTCACATGTGAAAGTGGTTAGACATGGCCTGGGTCCTTTCACCCTTATCCTTGGGTTTGATTTAAGACAAGGACTCAGAGAAGTGTTCTACCCTGGGGCCTCACTGCTTTCTCTCTCTGTTCCCTGTCACTGTGATTAGTGCCCTCCCCACCTACACTACTGTGACCCCTCTAGATGGGGCTTCAGGTACTATGTCCCTAGCCATGAGGTGAGCTCTCTAAAAGCACGGATACCTGTGAGGTTGTAATGCTGCCTTAGCACAGAGCCACTCAGAAACAAGGCCCTATCTGTGTGTGTTCCTTTTATCACCTTCATTCTCAATCTTTGCTTGTTTTGCTTGACTTGAATATGTATGAGTAGTGTTTGACTTGCTCATCATTAGGACAATCTCACAGGTCACAGTGTTATGGTCAAACCCTACAGACACTGAGTTTTCGAGGTTACTCTTATGGCTAATCATGAGAAAAAGAAATTGCCTCAATGTTGGGAATCACACATCTACTTGTCTAACTCCATGAAGTTAGGCACTAGTATATTGGGGTGAAATTACACTGTTCCCCTCCAAGAGTATATGGTTTTTTGAGTGCTTGCATGTCCCTTACCACACCTATCTAGGCAACGCCTTGGCCAGTCAGGGCACCAAGTCGCTGCCTAAGTCCAAAGTGTTAAGTGGAAGGAGACACAGCAATCGGTCCATGGAGACTGAAATCAAGCAGCTGTCAATCTCAGATCCTCCTGACTGCCTGCTCAAGCTCTAGAGGACGTTGAGGACCTGACTGTCCCTGACAGCGACAGTGCCACCAGGGAGGCCCCTGACCAGTGTTCCCCAGATGCTTGCCAGTGAAATCTCAACTGCATGCCACATGTTGGGATGTGGGGATCACATGTTCGTTTTGATGTGGCTATTCTGAAGTAAGGGTGTGCAAACACATATGCTTTCTGTCAACCAGATGGTAACACCATCATTGCTAAAGCTAGCTTTTGCCGTGCTTGTAAAACCATTTGGGTTTTGTATCTCTTTGCTAAATACTCTGTTATCAAATGAAAAAAAAAAAAAAAAAAACAACTACCATAAAAATTCTTTCATACCAAAGGGGATTTTTCTGAAAGGCATGTTCTATCTTTCCCATTTTGTAGTCCAGTTTTTGCTTATGCATGTGTATGGCCTGCTGTTCTGAGGAATCTAGGCTCATGGTGAGTGGTGTGCCCCTTGTCTTCCTGCTGCTACTGCCAGCCAGCACATCTAGAGAGTATGCCCTCATATCACCTGTTTCTGAAATCTGTGCTCCAGGGACAACTTCTAGACAGCAGAAGACCCTTGCTGCCTGCCCTACTCCCCCAACACTCTTGAGAAGCAAGTTCCTGTGTTAGGCCCAGGTCCACAGCAAAAGCGGCACAGGTGACATCAAACCCCAGATAGAGCAGCCCTCACTCTTCCACCCCAGTTCCTACCCAGAGGGCACCGTAGGATTCCCACAGTGCTTGGAAACTCTGCAGGAATGACAGGAAAGGCTACATTGCATCCTCTTCACTGCTTCCTTCCCTAGTGGGTCCCTGCCTCACGGACTGTTGAACGCACACACGAAGAGGCAGAGGTGCTACTCCAATGAGTCCTGGATAAATGACTTCTTGCTGCAAAGCCGAGGGCAGCTGGGCCCTAGTGAGGCCCTAGTTTTCCTTCTGGCTCACTGAAGGGTGCCACATACGCTATGGCCAGCAATCACCACTCGGGCTAGTGGGATGGATGCCTCCATGAAGACAGCATGGGGTCTCAGTGGGTCTCTTCTTGTGGCTCCTGCCCCATGTGGATCCTGTCTTTGTTATTCCACGTGGTGTCTGCCTTGAGCACAGGCTCTTGGGGCATACTGGTAGGATTCCAGCAGTGGCCCTGTACCCAGAGAATGCCCTCAGGAGTAACCCATCCTCATCTGGCCCATACATGTACATGGGGCAGTTGGGTCCCAGTTTTTGAATTCTCAGTCACTTGGCTGTCCATCCACAGCTCCCAACTGAGATCTTTGCTCAGCAAACACATGTGGAATCCGGGAAGCATCATATCCCTGCTCCACATAGCAGCACACAAATGAGAGCAGGAGCATTTCTGCTAGGAATGAGGATCTAGTCTTCAACCTTGAAAGATTTACAGATGAGTCCTATGCCACTGAGGGAGTCTTTTAGGTTTCAAAATCAAGGACTAAGTTTGCATTGAGAAAACATATCTCAAATGAAAGTTGATGGGATTTTTATTAGTTTAGCCATTGACTTTACAAAGCATTAGACTACTTGTCAGCTGGATTCACTGTGTGTTTGCTTACTCATTCCCTGATGTAGCAAAAGGATCACGTGTTGGTTTTCTCTTACTGCATAATAAGTGACTGCAGGCATGGGGACAGAAAGCAGCTCCTCTTCATTGTCTCATGCTTGCCCTTTTCAGAGCTCTAGTGTGGCCCAACACAATTCTTGGCCCTCGCTGCCAGGAGGCTGGAACCAAGCTTGTGGTAGGCTGGACTCTGATAGGAGGCCCTGGGAAGAGTCTGCCTCCAGGCTTAGCCCAGGTATTGGCAGAACCCAATGCCTTGCATTTTTAGAGCTGAGGTCCCTATTCCTGGCTGGCTGGCAGCCAGGATTTGTTCTTAGCTACCAGAGGCCCCCCACATTCCTGTTTAATGTCCCACTCCATCTTAAAGCCTGCAGGATATGTGGGATCCTTCTCACGCTTGTCATCTCTCCTATTTCCTTTGCTGCTGCTGATTGTAAAACTCTGATTATAAAAGGTTCAGCAGACTGCATTGGGCCTCCCTGGTTAATCTGGATATTTAGAGTCAGCTGACTTAGGACTTTCGTGCCATCCCCTTCACATCAGTATTCAACTGAATAGCTGAGGAGCAGGAATCTTGGGGGCCATTTTTAGGCTTTTTAAATAGTTTCATATATTTTAATAGCAAACTTACAGGAACATCACAGAAAGACAGTATTGAAAATGTGCTAGCATATAAGACCATTCAGAAAAGGATAGTGGCTAGCTGGAACCTACTGTATGATAAAAAATGCCACAAAGGACATTTAGTTGCTACACCATAAGAAATTTACTTGTTTTTAAAAAATCTGAATGCTGGAATTGTCCAGAAAAATTTAACAGGTTTATTTATAATTGTTACAATGTTAAACTGCCAAAACTTGTTCACTAAAACATTTTAACTTGTATTAACACTTTATATTCACATATGAAGACTAAAAGTACACTAATGAAAATGGAAAAACTGCCAGTACCTGACCTCTGGTCCCATTTTCCACTTGCAGTCTGTACTTAGGTACCTTTGGAACCCATGGAAATAAAATATTTTACATTTGGAGCTGCCAATAACAGGAAGAAGAGGAAAAAAAATTGAGAATGAAGTGCTTCCCACCACAGCGGACTGTGAAGCATGTTCTCCTCTTCACCCCATGCTAGCAGGATACCTTTTAGTATAATTGTCTCACGTATGACATGGGTGACACACAAGTTGGCATCTTCAAATAGGCCAACAAGATAGGCCTCACTTGCCTCCTGCAAAGCACTATAGCTGTGCCCTGCAAGCACAGATCTCTTTTGAAGTCCTGAGCAATTTCTAGCATTAGATACTGAAATTGAACTTGTGAATCAGAAGTTGGGTGGACTTCTGTCTAATTTCACAGAGTGCCGCAGTCCCAGGCCTGTAAGGGTGAGGTTTCTTCACTTTGCCAGTACAGGTGCACTCTTAAGAGAGGCTTTTGGGGGCCCGCCCATTAGCTCAGTTGTTTAAGTGCCTGCTTAAAAGGAGGCAGTTAGTTTCTTTGAGGGGTGGTTCCATTCCCACATACTCAAGGCAACCCAGACCAGCGCTGCTGCAGGTCAATGGGGAGCTACAAAAAAAAAAAAAAAAAAAAAAAAAAAAACCTTCTGCATTTTGGGGCTGGCGAGATGGCTCAGTGGTCTAAAGCACCTACTTGGAACAAGCTTGGCAAAGCACAGGGACCGGGGTTCAATCCCCCAGCACCACATGCCAGCCAGCCCCGCCCCCTGGTGGGCTGAGCTGGCCACACACAATAAATAAATAAATAAATAAATAAATAAATAAATAAATAAATAAATGTTTAAAAAAATTATTTAAAAAGAGAGGCTTTTGTTGCCTGTTGTTTGCTGGGCACTTCAGTGCCGCCTGCTTTGTACGGGCTGTGGTGCAAGGACCTCCTTCCCCTTCCCCTTTGGCTGGAGCTGAGCAAGTGAGAGGTGGTGCTACAGCAAATGCCCTGTGTTTAGGCTTCTGCCCACTGCAGAGCAACACAGAGAAAGTACCCTCACGTTCATTTTCACATTTTTGATGACGCTTGGGAAGACTGATGTCAGTGTCCCCTTTACTCTTATTTCCAGCAGTAAGTGCCCAGGATCCTGAGACAGACGCTGAGGCAGGACAGGCTGCCCATGAAGCCGACCAGAACATAGCCTGTGCACAAGGACGAGCGGAAAGAGAAGGGGAGCGGGGCCTGGAACAAGAGCCAGAAGAGAGACTTCCCCTCAGTGAGAAGGAGAGGCAGAACGAAGAGGTGAACGAGAGGGACAACTGCTCCGCCTCCAGCATCTCATCCTCCAGTAGCACATTGGAGAGGGAGGAGAAGGAGGATAAGCTCTCCAGGGACAAGGCAGCTGGTAAATAACCCCTTTCTCCTGAGCACAATCCAGGAACACAGGGCTTTAGTGCCTGTCCCGTTCAGAAATGGCCTCCAAGGTGACCCATTGAGACAGAAGGAAGCAGTGTTGCCCCCAACCTGCTGCCCCATAGAGAGGCTGCCCCAAACCTCCGCCGTGCTGTTGTGTCTCCCAGAAGGGGTCAGCTAATGAGGACTTCCTCGAGGAGTGAACCCCCAAATTCTTCATTTTGCTCTATGTGTTTTGTTGTTTATAGTAAATGTAGCCATTTTCAGTTTTTGCTGCAAGCTTAAAGACATATCATGTAGTCATATACTCCCTTCAATTTTTTTTAATGAAGTGTGTTAGAACATGATAACTGAACCTTTTAGACCAGAATAGATTTATTAACTAAATTGGATGACTACTTCTAAAATGTTCTATTTCCCTATATGTTGAAGTCAGATTGATATACTAAACTGGAATGTACAGAATTTAAATCATTTTCTATTTTACACTTTTACCACTCTTTTCTTTAATATCAAAAGCAAGGCTAATTTCTCTGCGCTACTCTGTAGTGCAGCATGCTTTTCTTGGTGGAAATGTATCCTTTCAGTATTACACCAGAGTCTTTCAGTTTACCTGTGAGCAAGCACTTTATGGTTAGGGACCAAGTAGAAAGCGGGATTGTAGGTTTAGCTCACAAAGGCCTCACGAGGGATTAGGGAGATGCCCCTTAAGGTTATGGAAACTGAAAATAATTTGCACAACCTGCAACACCACAGTGTTTGATTTAGCCCCCCCATGACGTGTCCTGTTTGTGTGGACAGGGCTGCCTCCCTCAGCTGCCACTCATTACCACTAGAGTCCTGGCTTATGGGCAAGCCTGCTTTAAGCTACAGACAGTGGGCACACACTGAAGTCCAAGGCCTCATGAGGACTTGCTAGCTGGTGCCATGACCCATGCTTAGCCTGATGGTTTCCACATGGAAAAACATCTTGTCTCTGTTTCATAGACAGATGAATAAAAATAGAATGAATGAATAAGACAATGCATTAGCCTTGACCAATCAACAGCTTGATCTAAAATAGTTACTTTTATTTTAGTTTTTCTCAGTTAGGATATACTACCAGATTGTATATTTTTTATTACTAGCCACTATAACGAAGGACTGAATGTCTTTATTAGTTTATATCTTAGGAAGTATGGCACTGAAAATCCTGTGTCTGTGATGGAAGATGTATGTGAAAAGCACATAAACTGATATTGAATTAATTTCTTTTAAAGTCAGATTATAGTTAGTCTCCCAAATTCTGCTAGTGTTATTCCCACTTTGGTAGAATTATGGTTATAGTATAGGGTGTAAGGCAAGTCTACTTGATCAGTTTGGTCTCAACTGTTTGTTTTGTGGATTTTAAAGAGCTTTAAGAATTATCATCATTTAGAGACTAAAACATATCAGCGAGCTGGATTAGTGGAAATAAGACAAGGAACAGAACTTTCCTGGATCCAATTGCACACTATTCTTCCAAATAAGTACAACTTTCCAAAAATGGAGACTTGTGAAGGACCATTGACTTTCTGTCAAACATGAGTGGTGTCCAAGTTTACAGACTCAGGAATCAGGGCTTCACAGTGATTTTACTGCTTCACTCCAGTGTTGTGAAGAGATTTGGCCCTGTTTATTTGCTGTGGATTATTAGCTCCTAAAAAAAAAAAAATCTCACTGCTCACAGGCACCTTCAATAGCTAAGTCAGGGGAGCTCCGAAAAGCTTTTGCTTTTCAAAATGTTTTCAACTAAATCACAAAGGCACGCTGTGACAATTAAACTAACTCTCCATCTTATTTCTAATGTCTGTGTCTATTACCAAGAAGGCATATGTAGGGCTTCAAAGAGACTCATCTGATTCCACCTGGGTGGTGCTTTTTTCATTGTTTCACATGTTCTACTTCACAGTATTAGTGTGAGAGGCTTCATCAAAGCTTTCTTTGCATTTTGTTATAATACTTGTGTAACTTTCCTGTGTTGATGCTTAAATGTCAGCCTTATGATGGTAGGGCTATCTGTCTTATTCATTGTGAGTCCTCACTTCTTAGCTGTGTGCCAAGAGAGGAATAAGGTCTCACAAATCACCAGTGAGTAAGTGAATAAAGAGGTATGTGGCCCCTTCCCGTGGCCAGCTGAGTGGACCTCCATCCCCACATGGCATAAAGAAGATAAAATTCGTAATTACAGTGGAGTCTGCTGTGTGCTCTTCCCAGCTCAGTGTCACGTGGGACTGTGGGGAACTGAATCTCTACTTCTATTTGAAGGTGGTAATTCAACATGAGTCAGTGGCTCATGGTCTCCAGAAGGCCCCAGTTGTCCAGAGGCAGTGGGGACTAGACTTTTATCCTCCTAATCTGTAATGAGGCAGTGTGAGTTGGTACTCTCGCTGGAGCGGTGACAGTGTCATACATCAGGGAGCTAAACATCTGCCTCCACCTATAGTGAGTACCTAGAAGGGTGACTGCTTGCTAAAGAAAAAGGCAAATAGGATGCAGAATCTAACATGATATCTGAAATGTCCAGGATATGATTAAAAATTATTCATCATAACAAGTACTTGGGCAATTGTACCTGAATGGGAAAAATAATCCAAAAATACCAACTCTACAGTTTTCCATATGTCAGAACTGTGTGATATGGATTTGAAGCAGCCATCATTATAATCTATCAATATTGAAAAAATATTTTAGTAAAGCAATACAATATATTTTTAAAACACAGATATTATAGAACTGAAAAATATATAAACCAAAATAAAAATCTTGCTGTGCCAGCCTTCATAGGTTGTAGAAAGCAAAGAAAATTATTAGCAAACTCAAAAACAGAGCAGTAGGAATTACTAAATCTGTGTAACAGAGAAGTAGGTTGAAAAGAATGACTTAAGAACCTTCTAGTGACCCAAAGATCTGTGTGACTGTAAGCAGAGCTCTAGGAGCTGCATCTCTGCAGTATAAGGAGCAGAGGAGAGAGGGCACAGGGCTGAAAAAAGTGTGTGAAGGAATAGCAGCCAAAAGCCCCTAAACTTATCAAAAGACATAATCCTACAGATTTCAGTAGCTAAGTAAACCCCAAGAAGAACAAATTCAAAGATATCCACACGAGGACAAATGATAAGTTTCTGAAAACTAAAGACTAAGAGAAAACAAAATTTTTAAAAGACACTACAAAGAAATGTATTGCCAGTCAGGGACACCAATTCATGTGACACTGATAGTTCCTCTGCAACTCAGAGGACTTCGAGACCAGCAGGAAGGAGCATGGAACCTATGCAGGGAGAAAAGGACACAGTCAATGATGAATTTTATACCCAGCAAATAGGTCCCTTGAGAGTAAAGGAAAAGTAAGATACCCTCAGATGAATAAGATCTAGGGAAATTTGTCACCAGCACACCTACCCCTAAAAGAATGGCAGTAGGATGTTCTCTGAACAGAAGGGAAATGAGACCAATCTTGGAGCATTAGGAAGAAAACACAACAGAAGGGGTAGAAACAGGTGTAAATAAAAGACTTTTTCCTCAGAGGTTTCTGAAATTGTATTTGAAGATAGAAATGAAAATTATAATACAATGCTCCCTGTATACAGAAGAAATAAGTACTTCAGATAATTTTATTTTAAAAATGTGGAGGATAAAAGGAACTAAATAGAAGTGGTAAAACAGCAGTAGTAATAGACTGTGTTGAGTTAGTGTGTATATTATAATACCTACATCAACCACGAAAAAAAACTATAGAAACTCATACACTTAAAAAACCTGAAAAAAGCAATATAAATTTCTAAAAAATGTTCAAGTAACCAACAGGAGATGAAAAAAGTAGAAACAGAAACTGAACCAAAGAGATAAAATAAAATGAATGGCAGACTTGAGTTCTAACATTTCAGCAGTTAAAAAGATAAGATAAAGTGGATTAAAAGCAAACCAAAAAATTATAAGCATAAAGACATAGGTTGAGAGTTAATGGTTGGGAAAATATAATATGTGAACATTAATCAAAGAAAAATAGTAATTATATTAATATCAGATTTTGGAGCAAAGGAAATTATTAAGGGCAAAAGGAGATACTATAAATGATAAATGATAAAAGAAGATATAAATGAAGAGAATAAGCAAGAAAGAAAGCATTTTTTAAAAAGGAGAATTACCTGAAATATGTTCTTTTTCCTGTTGCCAAAGTAAGAGCCCACAGTCCCAGGAAATAGAGACAGAGAAAGGCCTTAGAGATAGACTCACCACTGGCTTGCAATCTTCTGTCCTGAAGCATTTTGCTCTTTGTTTTCAGGGCTGTGCGCGCTCAGTCGTGGGTTATGGCAGTGGAGCAGATGAGAAAAGTGGCTGGGTTCTACCTATAACATGAAGGTTTAGGCAGCAGGTGCCTTGCTACGCTGGGTGTGGAGGATAAAAATACAGGAGGCAAGGATGATTCTGGGGTTTTTAGAATTGTCAGCAAAGTAGACAACATTGCCCTATATGAGCTAGCAAACAAATGTAGGAGAAGCAGCTTTGGTGAGGGGCAAGGCTAGGTAAGGTGATGCTCCCAGAGTAGATGGAGAAGAAAGGTCCAAGAATGTATAAATGTTAGAGACTAGGAAGGAGGAGCCAGGAAAGAAGAAACAGGCCAGCAGAGTGTTGTGTCCTGGGAGGACTGTGTGAAACGGGATGTGTGGAGGATGGTGAAGTGATAGTTTGACTCTGGCCAGGGGAAAGTTAGTGTTATGGAAATAAGGAGCTTTGTGGGGAGGTGAGAGAAAACATTCCATTTGACTGTGTTCTAGAAAGAATAGAGAGAAATTAGAGGCATTGAGCAAAATAACTCTTACAAACAGCTTTCCCATAAAGGAAAAGAGAATTATTGGGTGATGGGTTTGGAGGTGTAAGTAGGGTCAAGAGAGTCTGCTTATTAAGATTGGAGAAACTGTATAATTTTTATGCCTGAAGGATCTAATGGAATGGGGCCAAGGGATGTAGGACAGAACCACTCCAGTGGTTTCCAAATGCACCCCTGGAGTGGCAGAGCTTTGCTGAGAGGGATGGTTGGTAGACAGTCACAGAAGAGAGGCCCTGTCCTGGGGTTCACGTGTAGATGATGAAATGTAGCTAGAGTAGAGCTCTGGAAGGTCTCTTCTGATTTG